TTGATTTATATACAGCAAAGCATATTTTTAATTTTTTAATGTAATTTCTTGATTTATTCTGTTTGGGAATTTTAGGCATGAGGAAGATGTGCAGCATTTCAAAGTCATGAGAGACAAGTTCGGCAATTACAGCTTATGGACTGAAAAATTCAAGTCTATCAACAAACTTGTTGAATATTACAAAGCCACATCCATTTCTCGACAGAAACAAATCTTCCTTCAAGAAGAAGGGTCATCACAACCACAGGTACATGTTTTACACAATGGTAACTTATTACATTCACAAATGTATATAATAAAGTGATATATGAATGTTTTTTACTGGCCAAATATTTTAACTTATGTTCAGCAATTCTTAGAAATTACATATTGTTCCTAGTACTATTAGGATGTGCAGCTTCTAGTGTCTTACAGGTTAGTTACTATAATATATGCCCAATTCAGATTCAAATTGAAGTTAACACACCAGGAACTTAATTTTTTTTTTAAGTGACAGTCATTTTCAGCCTAATGAGATTTTAAAATAACAGATACATTACTTCAAATTCAGATTCTTATCCTGTGTTAAAACTTTGTTAATTGAGCCTCATAAATGAACATTGCCCCTGGTGAGATTTTTCCTTGTGTTTATCTGCTTCTGTAAACCTGCCTATCTAACTCCAAGACTTCCAACTTCCAGTGTTTTAAACAGCAATGCAATAGAGTTGCATATGGTCAGTGCATTAAAAAGGAAGAAAAGGAGCACCGCACCAGAATTAATTTATTTTATTAAAATGGTTCACATAAAATCCACAGATGTAGCCGGTGTGTTTAAGGGGGGAGGGGAGCTCGAAGATGTCCCCTCACCAGGTCTAAAATGAATTCAAATGATAAACAAATATACTTTGGAACAGGGAAACATTAAAACAATAAACAATAAATAAAATGCATTTGGTAGATGGCCTATGTGTTTGCAATGAAGTATCAGCACATGTGTTTTATTATCTGCTAACTGCATTTTATTATACTTTTCACAATTTCTGTTTCATTGCACACTTATGTTCAGTATGTCATATGTATTAATGTTACCCCTGATGAAAGATGGCTATATCTGTGGCGTTTATTTAAACTATTCTAAGAGAATTAATTGGTTTTGGACTCCAATTTTATACTGTTCCTTATTTTTTTTTAGGTTCTAGTCAGAGGCACCTCTGAAAGTACTTCTGGCAGATGTACATATTACCACATACCATATCACCAATTTCATATTAGGTTATGGAATTAGATTTTTTCTTAAGGGCCAATTCACACCAGTGAGTGAACATTATGGTCCTATATCATGCGTGCTGGTGTTTGTTGTGTAGGGGTGGTGTGATGTGTTGTTACAATGCATTACAGTGGGATTTTTTTCTAACTTTATTGAAATGTCACAAAATGACATTCAACTCTATGCACAACAGCATGTTGTGATGCATTGCAGTGCAACTTAACATGTTGTATAAAATTGTAGACATGCTGCATTTGTATGCAGTGCAAACCACCACACCTGTATGATGAAAACAGGAAAACTATATTCTTTGCTGTATCCTTGCATTGAGCCAGCATTGATCAATTCTGACCAACGCAGCTATGTGAAAAATCCCTAAAGATCCAGCAACACCTATCCAATCCTTTAATATCCAGCCTAATTCCTAGCATAGCAAAGAATTATGGTTAATAAACATAAAAATAAATGTACTGTAAGCTATGTATTCTAGTTTTATTTAAAATGTGATTAAAATGTTTTGAATGGATATCTAACCAGACTAAATCAAGTTTATGTTTTCTGAAAGTTCCATCTAAAGTTCTAATTTCTTTCTGCCTGACATAGAATTTAGCTTTACTGTTTTTGTTTATAACTTATGTATTCTTTGTCCTTTCCCTTTGCCTCTAGCCTGCTGCTTGTGCCAGTAAAAATCAAGGTAAAACTTCATCTGAATTAATGAAGGTAATTTCAAAATCTCTCTTTTCTGTTAAATAAATATAAGAGCTAGACAAATCTAATAGCAAAGCCTTCCATTGACAGCCCTCTGTCTATTTTTTTATGTTGACCCTGATCACTGTCGCAGTATACTCTTCATGTACAACAAGCATCACTCTGATCTTATGGTTCTTGTTATACAAGTTTATGTCAGACACAGACCAAATGAGGTAAGAAAAGTTAAGTGGAACTTCTGCTTAAGTGAAGATAGTTCACCAAATGCAATCAGAGATAAAAGCAGTTATAAAAAAAAAAGACTCCAATCCCATACCTCCCAACTTTCTGAGAGAAGAAAAAGGGACACCTTCCAGCACAATCTACTTAGGCAGTTGACGCACCCCTGCCACACCCCCACTTATGCAGAGCAGAGAGTTTATATGCCAAAAATGACTGGTGAAACCCAGAGTTGTTGTTCCCCACCATTATTCTGAGGCCCCGGGCGCCCGCACCGCCTGCACCGGCGGTAGTTCCGCCACTATATGTTTATAAATATGTATTTATGATCTTGAGCATTATTAATATAGCGCCAACAATTTACCCTGCGCTTTACATCAGTGCACATTCACATCAGTCCCTACCCTCAAGGAGCTAACACTCTAAGGCCTAATGATATTTAGTAAAGTAAGTAAAAGACCGTTCATTTTAAGTATAGGCTGCTGCACATAAACACACAAATCCCTAACATTTCTCCTAAGGCTTAAAAGACCACACAAATTCCAGCAGTTTATTCTTTCAGCACGGCTCAGCGCTCGACTGAGCCGCTCGGCCGTGATCGGGAGCTGTACGGGCTATTGTGAATAGCCGTACAGCACCCCCTCGGTTCTCCTGAACCGAAGGGGTCCTGGTGCCGAAGCTAGCCGAAGGATCGGCCGAAGCTACGGCCAGATCCTTCGGCAGCTTTGTGAATAGACCCCTATAAAATGGAATTTTCTCATAGGCTAGGAACATTGTTTCAGGTGGCCAGCAGAGGTCAGCAAAGACCACCAAGATCATAAAATACACTGACGTGATTAATTTGCTTTGTGTGGATTTTCCGATCGAAGTTCAGTTACCTTCTGTTTTGAAAAATATATCTAGCAAATTATTATTATCCTGTACAAAATAAGAGTAGATTATATGTAATTAAAAGTAAAACACCTTAAAGGGTAACTCTTCCTTTATAATAACTTAAATTGGACCTTTACCCATATCTTTAAAATAACAAGAAACACACCTGTTGGACCTGTATGCCTGACTTCCCAGCATACCTTGTCAGTGAGAAGTTGTCTTGCCATGCTCTGCAGTCTACAATAGATTAAAGGAGAACTATGGGGTTAAGTCTTTTCCCCATAGTTCTCCTTATGGTAACGGGAGGACACAAACTAGCGTCCTCCTGTCACCCTAGGCTCAGTATACAGCGAGCTGTATACTGAGACACCGCAGTATACCGCGAGCAGCTGCTCGCGGTATACTGAGACGCCGCAGCTGAAGCGGATCCCGACAATTGTGCCGGGATCCGCCCAGCTGCGTGACTGATAGCTGGCTCTGCCTATATAGAGGCAGACCCAACTGTAGCCGCCCCCTCCTCTGTCCGTTCCGCTAGTCAGCGCTGGATCGAGAGGTGAGCGTACGCCGGTATATGTTCGCTCACCTCCCGATCTACTGAGCCGACCTGTGACAGTCTCATTGTCACAGGTCGGCTAGAACTATGAGGTGAGTGAAAATCACTCACTTCATAGTTCTCCTTTAGGATGCAACAGATATGATGTTTAATAGGCCACTCAGGGTCACCAAATCCCACCTGAATCCACAGACCACAATTCTGTCACTCAAGGTTATATGAAGCCATGATCCCATATTGTTCACATGCAGATAGCTATCTCCACCTCCATGAATAGCCACAAGTACTCAAAAAACAGATACTTTTAGATAATTGCAGGCTTTGTATTCTTTGCATATCTTATTTCTCTTAGCCTCCACAGTCTTCTGACAGTGGCCATGTTAACTAAGGGCAGATTACTAGCTCCCTATTTACTTCCTTGAACTCTGGCACATGTGACTAGACATATGACTAGGAAGGACAGTGTCAGCACCAATTTAGAGATGATTTGAGGATTTACGGTTGAGTGATACACAAAAAAAGATAAATTTTTGTTAATAGTTAAGGTACTTGAATGCATTGTTAAGATTTAACTCCTGCGTTTAGTGTCACTTTAACGTGTTTGAGCCTACCTTAAAGAAGAATTTCATTATTTGCAAACTACACAGCGATGAGCAACTTGAGAATATAAATTTTTTGGTCAGGACTATGTAATACACTACATAGCATATACAGTATAGTGCAGGGATCAGGTCTATGTAATGTACTACACAGCACATAGAGTGTAGAAGTCAGGATAATGCAATTTACAACATAGTGTATAAAGTGCAGCACTACGAAGTATGCATCATAAGATCCATTACAATGCTGGTCAGTGGACTCCCAACAGTCATGAATTCCACGGGACTGTCCCAGGATTTGACCAATATCTGCGGATTCCGCTGCTGGCCTGGGTGCTGGAATGCTCATCCTGCAGCTGGCCTTGGCTTCTTTGATGCTCTGTCAGGTGGAATAATCGCCTGTCTGATATGAACACTATAGTTTTAGCAGCATTTGAGCAAAACATCGAAAGATGCTGCAGGTATCTGCTTGCGTCTGGACAACTGCTGGGGGTTCATACGTCTCAATACTAAGACTGGCCATACACATATTTTTTTTAAACTCTTGCTTTCCCTATCAATACTAATAGTGTGGATGGAGGAATCCCCTACAACCAGGCTATTGTATTCTGAATACCAGAACAGTAACTGCAGTCACTGCTCAGCCAAGAATTTAGATCATCTCATTCGACAATATTTGAAATGTTGACTTTTGTTGAACAGAGGGGTGCCAACAGTGCCACACACTCAGCTAAAATTCAGCCAGGCCATCAAGAAGCTGGATTGTGTATCGATACATGACGCAGTGTATTGAACGATATAATTCTAGTTTTATGTGTAATCAGGAGTAACAGTTGAAATACACAGACAGACATTTTACCAGAAACAATGAGCTGCAAGGGATCTAGGACCTCTCTTCCTGGCTTATCAATAATTTGTGTTAAAGGAAACCTATTACGAGATAGTCACATGATGAACAATACAGCAGTGGCATGCCCTGTATTGGTATCATTACTGTTTTCTTTTAATTCTTTCTCAATCAGGAAAGCAAGTATATACAGTAGCATGAACTATTTTAAACAAAGACCAGATCATGTCTGATCTAACTCTGTGGCTATGGTTAGTTTTAAAACGGGTAGAATGTACAAATTTAGCATTGTACTTTTATGCAACAAAATTAATTTCAGAGATGCTAATTAAAATCGGTTATGTCTTTTTAACAGGAGAAATGTGATTGTAATAAGTGTTTAGTGGCAAAATATGCAACAAAGGTACATTTTTAAGGACAGTTCATTGAGCAATATGATGTAGTCGGTAAAGCAAAGCAATCAGGCTGATGCCAGTTCTGTACAGTTTATTGTAATCAAACCAATGAAAGAATAATTTGCCTGCTTGTTAAGGGTTGAGGCTGTGCAGCTTGTTTTTGTTTTATTAAATAAAATCTTAGTTCTTTTAATGTGCTACCTTCAATGCCAGTGTTAACACACTTTTTTCACCTTCCAGTTGCTTTCAACATCATTTACACAGAATACAAATCAGACGCTAGACAAAATCAGGACTTTAGCAGTGCCTCAGAGGACACAGAGGGAGTCTATCCCAGGTTTCCCTTATCGCTGATGTTAGTCACATGACCAGAAACAGGCAGTGGCTATAAGTTTCCCTCCATCTCCTGGACATGGGGTGGGTCTACAGGACCCCAGGAATTGGTTAAAATCCTGGCACTGTCCCACGGATATCAGGATGGTTGGGAGGTTTGCAGTACACAACGCCGGGACATGAGCTAGCTCTGTGGGATCCCATGATTTAATTAAAATCTGGGGTAGTCCTGTGGTAATCAGGACAATTGGGAGTTATGGCCATTTCTCTCAGTGTAGGTCAGACCAGCATGATTTCCCTCTCAACCTTACCTGTTGGACCTGTATGCCTGACTTCACAGCACACCTTGTCAGTGAGAAGTTGTCATTGCTTAACACATGTCAGTGTCCTCATCTCCTGCCATGCTCTGCAGTCTACAATAGATTAAGATGCAACAGATATGATGTTTAATAGGCCACTCAGGGTCACCAAATCCCACCTGAATCCACAGACCACAATTCTGTCACTCAAGGTTATATGAAGCCATGATCCCATATTGTTCACATGCAGATAGCTATCCCCACCTCCATGAATAGTCACAAGTACTCTCTACTCCCTAAATGCGCTTTTCATCTAATTCGACCACGCCCACTGATCTAGAAAGGCGATTTGTTTAACTACGCCAAACATTCTTTCTATTTGCATGGCCACACCTCCAAGGCATTTACTGTGGTCAGATTGTTGTGACCCGGAGCCAGGACATGGGGTGGGTGCATGGGACCCCATGATTTGGTTAAAATTCCAGGACAGTCCTGCTGAAATTGAGACAGTTGAGGTATGTCTTCATGTCTTTGAATACAGTCCTGCAGCCACAGAAAGAAAAATGCTTCTAGAATCCTGCATTATAAGGGCTCAGTGTCCATTATTTCTTGTTCATAAGACTGGTGGCTGCAAAATCCACTCCTTCCCCACTAGTCATGTACAATACCCCACATAGTTCATTCATTTACTGTAGTGGGAGGACCCAGGCATCTCAGACTCCTGATCTGTCCAGCCCATTAGCATAGCAAAACAATACAATAATTGAAGCTCTGAGGAACAAATCAATTCCACTTAGTAACCCATAACTTCACAGCAGTAAAAGGTAATAGCGAAGGCCTGAAAATCCCCAGACCTTTCAATTTTATTTTTTTTTAGTTTAGAAAGTGTCTCAGACCAAGATATTTGAAAAGCTATCTCCTGTGTAAAATTATACACTATGTGACGGCGCCCCCCCCCTCAGTCCTGCGCCCGGGGCAAGTGCCCCCCCTGCGCCCCCGGTTGTTACGCCACTGATACACTATATCAATTCCGAAAACTGTAGTAGTCTTAGATAGAACATTATCTCTCAGCAACCTTTGATCCAGCATAATTTCAACTCTAATATATGTATCCCTCCCCGATTCCCAAAAGCATGTGAGACACCCCAAAGGCAGAGTAGGCTAGCATTTCACCACCTTATTCTTCATGGTAGATCACAAGGAGAGAGGGGTTAGAGCTATAGACACCCAGGACACTTTACAGACTCCATATTCACTTTTCAGCCATAAAGTAGCGCATAGAGCTTTTAATTCGGGATAAGTATCTCTGTATGCTCTGTATAGATACCAATTTTCTGAGATGAGAAAGAGGGACACCTTCCATAACAATGTATTTAGACAATGGGCACACCCTGCCATGTTCCCTAGTTACACAGACTATAAAGAATTTATATGCCAAAAATAATTGGTTAAAGGAATTTGTTTCCAAATGAAGGACCCTTCAGAGGTATGCTGTATATAGCAGAACTTCAGCTGGTTAACAGGTTAACAGACTTCTCCCTGTATCCTCCCAAGAGAGTTACCGGGCGCTGAAAGGATACAGCTTCTTCCCAGCCTCTCTTGCCCTGAGACTCCATCTTAGGTCAGCTTCCCCCCTGTTACTGGCAGGGCAGCTTCAGGCCCAAATCTAGGCCCCTATTTCTGGACACATGTAGGCCTTACCTAAGCAGGAGGCCTAGTTGAATTACAGACAGCAAAACACCATCCCCCAGGCAGGAGCCTAGGGGGAAGAGACACTCACAAGGTCAGCCCCATATATTTATGTCCTTTAGCAGCATACACTCCTGCTAATAAACCAATGGTTGGCCAGGAATATGCATAACCCAGCATTATAGTATCTTCTTATTCTAAAGCCAGGATCACAAACCAGCAGCAGGCAGAAGTACTAAACTCTGTGTTTAGTGGAGAACAAATTGAGTACAGCACTATCGATTTGGCTTTGGCTATTTACAGCCCAGCAGAGCTAAATGCAAGTAGTCACCCCCAGTGACAATAAGTCTATCCCATAATACGCAAAAATTCCCAAAAAAAAAACAAAAATGAGTGCACATTGTACCAACAAAATGGATATAGGAAATATTAGATTGGCACAGTCACAATTGTGTGCTGCAGAGAAACACTACATTAAAATGTTAATTCTTACCCTTCCTCATGCTATCCAAAAAAAAATTGGCTATACATACACTTAAAGAAAAAACAATTGTATAATATAACTTTGTCACTCTAGGACAAGGCCATGAAGCCTATCACAAGCTCAGACTTGAGCATTAAGAGATGATAATTACGTCACTTCTCAATCTGAACTGTCACTCCCTGGCCACAGAGGCACACAATCTGTGTTTGATCAGCTTTCTGGGCTGCAAAGGTGACATTAGGGTTCTAATAGACCCCCTAATCGCTCCGTAAAGAGGACCTGTCACCAGGGTCGGATTTACTCTCTCTGCTGCCCCAAGGCCAGGTTTCTGAATGCGCCCCCCTACCCGCCAACCAGAGCTGGATTTCCCACAAGGCCAACCAAGGCCTGGCCTTGGGGCAGCACGGAGTAGAGGGGCAGCAGGGATCTGGAATTCCTATCTCCCAATGCCCGGGACTTTCAGTTCCAGGTGTCGGGCGGGTAGTTGTTTCCTACATTTAGTCCTGCTTTGGGCAAGCAGAGCTAAATGTACAGCAGGGAAGCCACCGCGATTTTTCCGAGATCACGTGTATGCAGCCTGCAGGTCTGCCATTCTCCATGGGGGGGTAGTTGGTGGCTAGGGGGGCGCATTGAGAAACTTGGCCTTGGGGCAGCAGAGAAAGTAAATCCGGCCCTGCTGCCAACCCCCCCACGGAGAATGGCAGACCTGCGGGCTGCATACAAGTGATCTCGGCAACATCGCCGGGATCACTTGTACAAAACAAGTGGCGACATTCCCCGCTGTACATTTAGCTCTGCTTGCCCAAAGCAGGACTAAATATAGAAAACAACTACCCGCCCGGCGCCCAGTGTGTCCCAGGCATCGGGAGATAGGAATTCCACACCCCTGCTGCCTCTCTACTCCTTGCTGCCCCAAGGCCGGGCCTTGCTTGGCCTTGTGGGAAATCCGGCCCTGTCTGTCACCAGAAATATGCTATCACATAGAGAGCTGATAGTTGCAGCCGATACCATTTTTTTTTCCTTTGTAAATTTCTGTGTATTTCTACTTTTGTTATGTTTTCTTATTCACACAGCAAACCTAAAAATATTTTTTTTATTTACTTTTTAGCTGTGTCAGCGTAGTGGGCCTTTGGGGCTTCTCTGTATTTCAAAGTGACAGGAAACCCTAGCTGTCTCCATAGAAAGACTTCCTCATATTAACTTACAGTGCTTCAAGATCTTTAACCCTTTATTAGGGCAGACAGTGTTCAGATCTAGTTTACAAATGATAATGAGATCTGCCAGCAAAATACAGACAGTGTTAATGAGGTGAAATATTAACTCCCCATCGCCTTGCATTCCAGAGGTAAACTCCGAGAGTTTCCATTCAGGAAAAAGCAAGTAATATGGAAGCAGTGATTTACAAAAAACTTTAAATTCTGCATACATCTTCAGTGGGGTTATTTTCCATTTCTTCCTTTTCAGGCGATGAGTATCAGATAGAACAAGAAATAAATGAAAACTCAATATAAAACCTGAGAGAGATTTTAACCCTAAAGTTATCCATAACCATTTAAAAATATGTGTTGACTGTAGATGAGCTTAAGGCTGCATTCACGCCTAAGCGACACCTATAAAGCGCATTTTCCACCTGACTTTTTTGGGCATTTTTTGGGGGCAGATTTTGGCACATTCATATGAATGGGTAATACACGTGTAAAACGTCCACAAAAAATAATCAAAATGCATGTTTTTGAGCGTTTTTATTTGAGTCTATTGGGAGAAAACGCGCTGAAATCTGCCCTAAAGTAGCTCGTGTACTAGTTTGTGCGACAGGCGTTTCTCTGCTTGCAACAAAATGCAAAAGGTGTGAACAGGGGCATAGAAAAGAATGGGATTCCTGGGGTCGTGCTAAATCAGCTGTAACAAAACACCTATTTGTGACCGGGACATTAAAGCCAAGCTCACGGCAAAAGTGACCTCTGGTGACCTTTATATGCTTACCATTTTCTGATATCTATGGCCGGTCACATGATGTGCTGGGTCCTCTTTCTCTCCCAATCTTTATCAGCAGTGGGTGGTCCTCAGAAATCCAGAGAGCGCCGCTTTCTGTGTCAAACAGTGAATGCAGGGCCACAGTGGTGATGTCCGTCCCCAGTATATGAATAAATCCACTGCACACAACTCTTTGTTTTACTATTTACAAAGTGCTATCTACCTTCTCATTTATTGTCCTCTCTCCATTTCCCAGGTTTCGCCTCAAGCAAAATGTACTCAGCTGGTGAAAGCACTCTATGACTTCAAGGCCCTGGAGCCAGATGAACTCAGCTTCTATACCAATGATGTAATCGAAGTGCTGGACAACTCTAATTCTTACTGGTGGATGGGAAAATTAGGGGAGAGAATTGGGCTCTTCCCATCAAATTATGTAGCTGGCATCAACCGATGACAGCAAGTATACATCTAGGGACTGAAATATTCCTCCCAGCTTGGATTGTTTATTTCCTGAGAGTGTTCTTCATATTAATATCACAGAAAAAGAGCAACATTTACCTTTCTTACAACACAAAACTATTCAACAGCTGATGGCTTCCAGTATCTGTTATTGTGTGTTATTTATTGCAGTGGGAGGGACTTGTGATTATCACCTTATACTCCTTGTTATGTTGTAGTATTCTACCTGATGTAACTAGTAAAAAAAAGCAGGTTGATACAGATAATTATTTGTTTTTACTTTGGTTCTGATTCTGGATCCCACTTTATGGGAGTGATTTATAAACTGTTTGCATAGTGAACAGCTATGCAAACAAAATTTGCAGCTCATTATGGCCACTAGGTGGAGCCAAAAAGCATAAGAATGACCCCCATAGAGTTCCTCGGTTAAAAAAATATTCCAATTCACGTGCTTCCTTTTTTTATTATTCTCACACACATGCTAAAATGCGCACTTTTTACATTTAGATTTACTTTATTCATGGGAAACCCACAAAACAATATTTTCTGAAAGCAGAGAACCTATAGAATAAAATGATGGCAGTTTCAAATTTTTATGTCTCATGATATTTGCACAACTGATTAAATCTATATTTTATCAGTCATATATCAATAGATGTTGTTAATACTTAAAAACGCTCCTAATATGTATAACTACATTTCGGAAGGTATATTAGCCCTTAATTTGTTATATTTACATTAATAAAGTATTCATTAGATGGTCAGTAAAGAAATATTACAGTATTGTCCATCTCAATGTATCACAGCATCAAACTTGTCTTTATATGTATCAGCAATATAAATTACAATGCTATTCCAAATCCAGAATGTTAAAGGAGAACTATGGGGTTAAGGCTTTTCCCCATAGTTCTCCTTATGGTAACGGGAGGACACAAACTAGCGTCCTCCCGTCGCCCTAGGCTCAGTATACCGTGAGCTGTGGCTCGCGGTATACTGAGACGCCGCAGTATACCGCGAGCTGCTGCTCGCGGTATACTGAGACGCCGCAGCTGAAGCGGATGCTGACATTTATGCCGGGATCCGCCCAGCTGCGTGACTGACAGCTGGCTCTGCCTATCTAGAGGCAGAGCCAGCTGTACCCTCCCCCATCCGTTCCGCCAGTCAGTGCTGGCGGATCGGAGGGGGGAACCCAGCCCCTCCCCTGTCACGGCAGAGACGCCGGTATGTGTTCGCTCACCTCCCGATCTACTGAGCCGACCTGTGACAGTCTCATTGTCACAGGTTGGCTAGAACTATGAGGTGAGTGAAAAGCACTCACCTCATAGTTCTCCTTTTAAACATTTCCTCATAAACATTCTGACATGTATTACTTACATTTCTCCTCTAGATGTCAGTTTATTATCTTTTCAGTTCAACATGATATTCCTATAGACACTATCATGCCCCTATAAATCCATCCAATTTTCATCTTACCTCAGTGTAAAGGTGCCCATACACTGCACGATTATCGTACGATAATCGTATGCGATCGGTTTTTCGTACGATAATCGAGCAGTGTGAACGGAGACGTGCAACCGTTTCTACTGTACGGTCGCACGTCTTCTGTCGAACCAGCATGTTCGAAAACCAGCCGGGAATCGTACGATTCTCGGCTGGTTAGACCGGTGCTCGGAAGATAAATGCTGAACGGGCCGGTGTGCGCACGCGCACACTGCCCGTTCAGCATTGCGGTCATCGGAAGTCCGCCCCTCAGGGGGGCGGGCTTGCGATGATCCAGAGTGCGATCTGGCTGTCCAAGATAGGCAGATCGTACGTTTTTTTAATCCCTTTACAACCATCGCAAGACTAAAGTCTTGCGATGGTTGTAGAGTGTATGGCCACCTTTAGTCTATTAGAAAAGAAATGGTACTTCTCCCCCCAAACCAGGGTCCACATTAGAGTGCAGTGGCCTAGAGGGATAATGCTCCACTTATGTAACCCCCACTGCATGTGTCACGTCACCGAGCCTTGCATCCTGGCATCCCCTACTAGAGAGAAAAAGGTACATTAATTAGGATACCATGTTGTCATGTAAATAGTACCATATTATACATTGTCTTCAAACATTTTTAAGCCCCCTACTAATATGTAAATTTGATCTCTCAATGTAACCTAACCACTATACTAATGTTGTAGCTTCAACATTTACATTGTTTATTTTATTAAGTTTTGTTATTTTAACTTTGTGTAACGGTGAAAATGATCTCCATTGCAGTGAATCAACTTACAAAAGTTGATTCACTGCAGAGACCAATTAGCGCAGAGTGAATAATTCCATTTTACTTCAATTTGTAATAGTCATTTATCACAGGCACCCCCTGTGCATAATTGCTCCATAAATCAGAGCAATCATTTTTGAATTATCAGGTATTGACTGTAGTGTATGGATTTGATTAAAGGGGTTGGATGTGAATTACTTGAATGTAGTATAGTATTACCTGCCATTACTTTTCTATATTAACTGCTAGCTAGAGTACCATCTTCCCTGACAAGGACTTTTATATCTTAGAATGTAAGTTGATGTTGATCATATGTCATTGTGAAATTCAAATTAAATATGTTTGAGTTTAGTGTTCTAATAAACGCTTCATGTAGGACTCTACTGCCTTCCAAAACCATCAAAATGCCATCAAAATACCTGTGCTGCGCCCGGCGCAAGTGACCCCCCGCACCCCCGGTTGTTACGCCACTGGCCTTGATAACATGTGGCACATATATTACATACATTCCTCCACAAAGATATATTGCTCTTATCCCCCCAGGTACAAATTGGCATAAGTTGGGGCACAACAAGTGCCCATCGCTACACCCTGCACCTGGAGGTAATGGGAGCCATCAAAACGGAATACTATATAACAAAGAATATATTCCAAAGCCTCCGATATAAACCTGTTGTCACATTGTTCTTGGCTTTCTTGTGGCAAAAAAGTTTTGACTATCTGGATAGTGTTTGTGTGTGGTATGCTGTTACACATCCACAGCTAAAAACCACGTGTTGGTAGGTATGTGTAATCCTTAAGTTACCTGGAAGGAATTGTATGATGTCCTTTACATACCAAGGTAACCCTTCCCATGTGGTCTAAGGTGTGCATTAATCACTTTGCTAATATTCTGCATTGTTGGTCGGCATCACTTATGGAACCACGTTAAAATAGGAAACATAACATCCTTGTAACGTCCTTTCCAGAAAATGGCATTATCTCTTTTCATGGCCAGAGTGGCTTGGAACGTCCTGCTGGAGGAAGGAGGAAAACCAGTGACAGTGGCTGCCTAATTGAGGCTTTTGGGGGCTTGTTCACACCAAATGCGGTGCGTTCCAGAGCAAGCTCTATTTTTTGCGTTGGCAGTGGAACGGAACGCAGGCAAAGTTTTGCCACGCGTCCGATCACACTGCAATCGGACGCGTGGTGTGGAAGCAGTACCATTGAATACAATGCACCGCCACGCCCCCTCCCATCCCAGAAAGCAGTTCCAGCAGCTACCGCTCTTGAACGCACCCTATTCGGTGTGAACAAGCCCTAAGGCTTTCTTTTGCATGCCTCACCCAGGGTTGTCTTCAAGCAGCAGTTATAGGTAGGGATTGAACTATATGATTTTTGATCATGCTCAGAATGGACAATCTCCCTGACATTTGGGTACTGGGCTTTCCCAGTATGCAATCGAACTCGAACTTCAGCCAGCATGCTTTTAGAACATGCATTTAGTTCAGATTGGGTTTTTGCAACTGAAAAAAAGTCTGCTGGCCCCCAGACACAGTTTTATCAAAATTAACCAGTCCTGAATCAGCAATAAGTACCAAGCCCCTGCTGCTAATGCTAGTGATTACATTTTTGGTTTGAGGTTGGCCATAACATCATTATACCATACAGCTTAAGCCTCTCCTGCTACCACAGCAGGCCTGCCATGACCACATCCTGCCACTATTAACTGTTTCTTCTACCACTGCAGGTCTGACACCATAACCATCTGCCACCACTGTTGACTTGCCAGCATTGCCATCTTGTGCTGCCTTTACAGTTGTAGCCTGGTGCTACAGCACTGTCAATGATTTTACAATGGTTTCTCATTTTTAAAAATTGCTAATTTTTTTCCTTAGGGTCAATCCTGTGGTGCACATACATTTTTGCATTGGATTACAGTGAATATGCACTGAAAATGTCCATCTAATGTTTCTAGAGCTGCTCCTCAGCTGTAACATTCTTGAATTTTTCTTTCGGTGTCAATACCACATTGCATGTCAATCTTTTTTGTTGCATTATGATACTTCAACACCAAAAAAGTACAACACCTTATGTTTCTGCATGCTACTCCTCAGTGGGAATTTTTTGTTTTTTTTCTTTGGACCCATTTCAGTGCACTGCCTCTATCAAGAATATTTGTGGATATAGTCTCTCTGAAACAGTCTAACAATAATTTCTTCATGAAAAACTGCCTGGCCCTGCAGGGCCATAATGTGGGAGCGGGGCTGTTGCCCAAATCGCCATACTTTTCGGGGCGCTGTGTGCAGCCAGCCCTCCTGTAGTGGGCCCCATCCAGTCACCAGGTGGGCCGAGGCTCGAGTTGGAAGCCACTCTCTCCTCCCCACTGCCTGCTGCATGCTGTGGTCTGTATCCCTCCTATCCCCACTGCTCTCCCCTGTATTGACAGTGGGGATCAGAGGGGACACAGAGCTGATCCAGCTGCTGGCGCCCAGGGGGGAGGACAAAGCAGTGAAACAAGGAGTCAGGATGGAGAGCGGACCTCTGCCGGGCCGGGCGCAGCTTCAGTATGCCGAGCGGAGGATCAGCAAATATGTGAAATATTTGCTGATCCTTCATTGTACTGAACAAACACTGAGGTGACCAGTACTGATCACTTCAGTGTTAGCAAGCTTACTATGTTATCAGTTATTTACAATGTCCCCAGTTATGAATGAACCGCAAGTGTTACACATTACTTCCTGTGCATTCATGACTGGAGGGCATAATAATCACTTACTCAATTTATGAATGGACAGGAGCACTCAGGAAAGAGGCTTCCTGTCCATTCATAACTGGGGAGAGTACTATGCCTCCTCAGTTTGTGAATGAGCAAGAAGCCTCTGTATTGAGTGCCTCC